CTACACATGGGCAAACGTGGTAATTTTGGTATTAAATTACTAGGAGCAAGTCTGTACTCACGAACCGCATCCTCCAAAGCACTCCTCAGTCGTTCATTGCACTGAGTACTCACTTGTTCAACCCTGTCGTCCTCCACTCCAACGATAGGGGTGGTTGGTGTCACACATTGTGACACTACAGGTGTCTGTGTCACCAATTGTGGCGGAGCGGGGACGACACGATTGCGCAGTGCTTCTAGACGTAGCCGATCAAGCGTAGCCTCATCCAATCTACAATTGCGTTGGATGACCCGCACCTGATCCGAGAGTCGTTGGGCCGAGACGTTGACAGATGGCTCAAGCACCTGAAACACAGACAGCATCCTTTCACGGTAAGCCGTGAGGTTAGTTCCTCCCTCTGTAGCACCGTAGTATGCGCGCATGACGTTCTCATTTATGGTTTGAGACCATTTCATGCGCCGCAAACAACCACCGGTAGCGGGGACCCGTCCCAGGGCCTGATGGCCCCTGGTTCCCAAGCCAGTCGGTGGCCGGCCTCTCCCTGGCCGACGTACAGGTGTCAGCGACGTCGGTGGGGAGAAATAGTCGTCGCTCGAGCTCGACGCAACTGCTGTCACCGGTGATCCTGCGGGGCTGGGGTCCGGCAACGGCGAGGCGGAGCTGAGCGACGAGTCCGGAGGTGGTGGGGGTGCGCCTTGTCTTCTTCTGGCTCTCGTCAACATCAACGTAACATTTTATTTTTCTGTTTCATAATTTTCCTTTTGCATGTTGTCAATTTGTCACTGTCAAATTCCATTTTTCTTCATTTATTGTTTGTACCTCTATAATGCTATTAGATGTTGATTTTGTGGTAAGTATATAGATATATTATTATTATTAATTCTGGCTTTTATTATTAGTACAGCGTCTGGTGATAAAATAATTATTACGATCCACAAGAATATAAAATTAATTTTGAACGTAATGTGTATAGAAAGGGATAATAAACAAAATAATACTATATATAGTAACTACCTTTTACGCGCACTAGATAAAAATTACGTAGACTCGATAAAATTGTTCCTATATTTAGAAATCCGACTAGTCTAGACATAGGTATGTTTGATTTCAGTAACCTTGGGTTAACTGGTGTTATACAGAATGCTCATTATGTTTTTCGGCTTATTCACGTAACTATTTAACGAGGAACTCGGCTATTGTCAAGCTATGGTAGAGGCTCATATTCATGAACAGCATTCAGCATTAATATGTAACGCGTGACTACACCTTAGCGGGTCAAGAAAGTAATAAACACTTTTAGGTACAGTTGTTGAATCGTCCACTGTACTATAAATTAGTTCCAATTTTGAAACTAGATGGCGTTGATAGTTTATGTCCATTTTGTAAATCGCGGTGTCAAGATTCTCCGTTGATTAATGCCTCTGGGTGGATGTTCTATGCTCAGTTAGTTTATTAGTTCAATAGTTTAATAGTTCAATAGTTTAATAGTTCGATAGTTCGATAGATCATAAGAAGATTATTATTAGTGTTAATGACGATATATGGTGTGATATATAAATCAGTGGATAGGTATACCTCTAATGACCCTCTTCTGGCGTAAAGCTGGATCTGCCCTTACCTTGATTATAATATTATTCAATTCGTTTTTATTTTTATTTTTTTTTTATTTATTTTTATAAACTTATGTTTAGTTGATGTCCTTGGTATAGTAGGATCGCCTACCACAAGCATTTTCTTGCTTAACAGGTTTTTTCCTAATATTTTGTTGGTATGTACATAATAGTTAATGAAATAAATTATTATTAAATTATTATTATTAATTCGATACCTAGTAGCTCTAGAGATTAGCGCCTTCAAACGAATTCTTCAGCTTTGTATATTAGTATCTAGCGACCCGCCCCGGCTTCGCACGGGTGCAATACTTATGTAAAAATACCTACTACAAAATGTCCTTATACACCACGTTCACAGCTATTTTGTCATTAGACAATACAAACATGTTTATCATAAACCTAGTAATACTTTGCCTGTCCCGAGAATCGAACCCGAGACCCCTTGCCCGGCAGTCGTACTTGCGACCACCTGGCCAGCGAGGCAGTCCAAAAATTTTGAACTAATTATAATATTAATCGCCCTTCCATTCTCAGCTTATGTATTTGTTTACCCCTTTATATCCAAAGACAGTGTCAACTCTATAATAATAAAACCTCTATGATTCTGTGGTACAACGAGTGTAGTTTATTGTATCTCAATTCCTTTATTTAATAATAATCTTAAAAAAATAATAAAAATGCGAATTTTATACGAGTACATTTTATTTTCTTTACAACAAATATTTGCTATAGGAAGACAATGCTACAGTATGATTTCTGTTACTATTTATACGGCTGTCGTTTTAAATATTTGATTAAAATTATAATCGTCTGTATGGGCAGAACAAACAGTTGCGTACATAAATAGTGTTATGGTCACCTTTGTTAACGAGTACATTATGGGAACGAGTAAAAGGGGTTGTTCTTAAAAAGATAGTATTATGATTCCCATTGTTAATCAACTGATTTCGAGCCGGATGAAACAATGTGGACCGCATGTATATGACATTGTGATCACCATTGTTAATGAGTTGATTCTCCGTGAAAATGCGTCGCCGGGGAGGTCTGAACAACGGCAGGAATGGTGTACCTGAAATATATGCAAATCGTTACTATTTATTCATATATATAACATTAACACCCGAAATCTGAAAGGCTACTTAATATTAAGTTGTACTCAATTATCGTGCCATCTCTGTCATTTTACAAAGCATTTATAGTGACTGTCTCGTTGGCCGAGTGGTCGCAAGTGCGACTGCCGGACATGGGGTCTCGAGTTCGATTCCCGGGTCGCACAGTGTATTACTGGGTTTTTGAAAAACTCGGTAGTAGCACGGAGCCTGGAATTGTGCCCGGTATATGGCAATAGGCTTACCTCCTATTACATGGAACTCATAACATGAATAGTGAAAATTGGGTGTTTCATTTTACAGTGGCATTAAGTGCCGTAATGTGTACTTCTGCCTACCCTCTTCGGGGATAAAAAGGCGCGAAGTTATGTTTTATGTTATTATCTCCGACTGTCAATACAAGAGTGTACATTTTACATAGGCACACATGAAACAACGGGGACGCAATATACTCACATTGGAATCCCTCCAATATCACCAAGAACAAGAAGATACACACCTGAAACAATAATTTTTAATCTTTGTAAGAAACTGACGGCACGCACAACGTGTACCGGGTTCTATTCCCGCACGGAACAACTCTTTGTGTGATCCACAAATTGTTGTTTCGGGACTGGGTGTCATATGTATCTGAATTTATTTTCCACAACACAGGAGAATATCCAAGTATGGGGCAAAGTTTTAATAAAAACAAACAGTTTGGGCTCAGATTGAATGGAGATGGGATGGATTGGAAGGATGCCGATGTCATCGGCCCACCTAGCAACCTAGCAGGAGTCCTGTATACGGTCGCCACTCTAGCACTTACTCCTTCAGCTTGCAGCTTGCCCGGTTTGTAAGAAATTTCCACATTTTGATACAAACCAGGAGGCACCTCCTCCTTCAAACATTCAAGAAGTCAGGAAAGTCCATGAACAAGAATTACGTTTAAAGTATAAAATTAATACTTACAATGAATTTCATCGCTGCGACACTCGCACACTGGAGTAATGAGACTATCCTCAGTGGTGCTGGGGTCGAAATGAAAAGATAATGGAGATCATAATAACATTTATAATTGAGGTAAATACAAGTTATCTTCTTACAATGTCAAACATTATCTAGGTATTTTTTTATGCAATGAGTTTCTTATTATGATTTAAAAATAATAGCCGTGCCCGCGGTTTCGTCTATGTTGAAAGTACAAATTCAATGTTCTGTTTCACCTACCTAGCTAGGAACATAATTATAAATTTACATTTGCACAAGACATGTAAAAATATTCGAAGGGAAAAAATATTTTCCTAAAATAACTCATAACAATTATCCTAAATACTACCTATATCTGAATAATGAAATGCATACGATATACATATTTGAAAAATTTCCTATTAAATACTACAGAATAGGAATAAAATGACCCAAGTTATGCAGTTTACTGAATTTCTAAAGAACACCTCAAGTTGAGTTTAAATCGTAGTTTGGATACAAATACGTGTAGGACTGTCTTTACGATAAGGGCACTCGGGGCTCGTGCCCAGGGCCTACCATGCAATAAAGAAAATGTCAGATTCAATTTTATTAGTGAGTATAACAATAATAACAATATAAATGAACTAAATGATAACAATATATATATTTAATAATGTCAAACAGAAAAGTCTATAAACACTACAATTATCAGTCCACTGTCACCTTACATTTATGTCAATATTAATTCTTATATTCAATACTATATAATATCACTATACAATAAATTCATAACCTAAGTATAAATGAGTAGGTGTGCGTCAATTATATTTGTTAGATGGATTTATCTTGTAGGTACTCATCAACACTATAATAGGCCTTGTTTAGTATTATATCTTTAATTTTGCGTTTGAGTAAGTCATTATTCTTGATCTCCAGTATGTGATCTGGTAAGTGATTATAAATTCGTGTTCCCATGCAGAATACACGAATATTGAACATCATTGTGCTATGTATAGGACAATTGCTTTTGTTAGTATGATATGAATGACGCTTACATTTTAAATTCTTATACATATTTAAATTAGTCCTAATGTAGTTAATCACCTCACAAATATATAAACTAGGCAGCGTTAAAATTTTAAGGTTTTTGAAATGGGGCTTACAGCTATCAGACTGATTTATTTTGCAAATACTCCTCACGCACTTTTTCAGCGCTAGAAACACACGTTGTTTATCTGTCGAGTTACCCCAGAAGAGGACACCGTACCTCAATATAGATCCCACATATCCATGGTAGGCCGTAAGTACCGTTGATTGACTAGCTACTTTTGAGAGCATTCGTAAAGCATAGGATTATTGGTTAAGATTCTGGCAAAGGTTATCATCAATGTGATCTTTCCAATTTAAGGTACAATCTATTGTCAGTCCTACAAATTTCGTTGTGTCTACTTCTGTAATTTTTGTACCCATATAGTCAATATTAAGATTAGTAAGCATTGGTTTTCGATTTCTAAATGTCATTAGGGGTGTCTTGTTTAGATTTATTTTTAAGTTATTGGATGTCAGCCATAGTATTATATTATTAAGAGTATTAATTATGTCAACAATGTGTATAAATGTACTGTCATCCGCAAATAATATGCTAGGTTGGGTAGATATTTGTGGTAAATCATTTATTTAGATATAATAAATAATAGTGGCCCTAATACACTACCTTGTGAAATACCCAATTTAACCTCTCTGTAAGCGGATGAGTGTTGTTTCTCTATTCTTAAATTTGCGTTTAAACGGCTTATTCTGATGCATTGTTTTCGACCATCAATATAGGATTTTATAAGATTAAGTACATTTCCTCTCACGTCGCATGCTTGTAGTTCATTAAGAAGAATTTGATGATCTATATTTATAGAAATAAATTGTTACATGCTAACCAGTTTGGTTTTACCAGGGGTCGTTCAACAACTGATGCCGGTGTTGAACTTCTTAATTACGTATATGACGCTTGGGAGGACTCAAGCGATGCTTTGGGCATTTTTTGTGACTTATCCAAGGCGTTCGATTGTGTCCTTCATGATACATTGATCAGGAAGCTATCCCATTATGGAATAAGAGGTAAATCTCTGGATCTTCTTACCTCATACTTGAGTAACAGGATTCAGAGAGTCGAGATAAACGGAAAAGTCTCCGCCGGGTCTGTTGTCAGGATGGGGGTTCCGCAGGGGTCAATTCTCGGCCCTTTTTTGTTTCTTATATATATAAATGACTTACCTTACCTCGTACGGGATAACCACGGGATAGTACTGTTTGCGGATGATACTTCGTTATTATTTAAACTTAAACGTAGACAATTAGTCATTGATAATGTGAACAATGCTCTCTCGGAAATAGTACGCTGGTTTAGTGCCAACAACCTATTACTAAATGGAACTAAAACTAAATGCATTAAATTTACAACACCAAATGTTGGACATGTTAAAACCAGCGTGCTCATTAAGGGTGAGGAGTTGAGCCCTGTAGATTCTGCTGTCTTTTTAGGTATAACCCTAGACGCTAAGCTCCAGTGGGCTCCACATATAGATAAGTTATCGAAAAGGCTCAGTTCTGCAGCATATGCCGTTAAAAAAATTAGAAAGTTAACCGATGTAGATACAGCGCGATTAGTATACTTTAGTTATTTTCATAGTGTCATGTCATATGGTATTCTCCTATGGGGGAATGCTGCTGACATTCAATCTATCTTTGTTCTGCAGAAGAGGGCCATTCGATCAATTTATAATCTTAGTCCGAGGTACTCTCTCAGGGAACTATTTAAAGAAATTAATATAATGACCGTTGCCTCTCAATACATTTATGAAAATGTAGTATATGCTCATAAAAACAAAAATTTATTTAAAAAGCATAGTGATATACATAATATCAACACGAGAAATAAAGACAAATATGTTGTTCCCACTACTAGACTAAAGAAAATAAGTGGTTCGTTTAGATGTCAGAGTATACGCTTTTACAATAAAATTCCCAGCCATATCCAAAATCTGAGTCTAAATAAATTTAAAAATGCCATTAAAGATAAATTTTATAGTAAAGCTTTTTATAAAATTAAAGACTACCTAGATGATAGTCTGGCTTGGGAATAAGCTGCTGTAACGTCCACACGGGTCATGTTGACATGTTTGTAACATATAGTTACATTTCTTGACATTGTTTTTCATACATTGTTCTAACTTGACATTTGCTTTTTCCTTTACAATTGTTAGTGCTAGGACCGTGCGAGACTTTGCCTCACCATTTCTTTTCTAATTACCCATATTCTGACAGTTTGAGTATTTGTGCGACCCACGCAAATGTTCTTTAGGTTGGTATTGTTCGTCGAATCAGTCAGCCTCACCTGTTAATTGAGCCGACTGTAAACCGACACATGCGTACTGCCTTCAGAACGGGTCCGCTCAAACTGTTGTGGTTCTTTCCTCAAAAGGCCACTACAGAAAGAACTTGCACGGTTCTCACACATAATCTTTTATACATATTGTCTGGACTTTAAAAGAGACAGACCTCTGAGTTTGTTTCGGCATTTCTTCTCAGAGTAGTCAGTTAGGAAATGTCGACCTCATCGTTCGCTTGATAAAAATGACGTGTAAAAGTGCTGCCTTGTAGCCTATTTGCAGAAATAAATTCACTTGTTTCACTTGTTTCACTTGTTTCACTATACAATCAAATGCTTTTGAGAGATCTATATCTTTTTCTTATTTTTATGCATTTATTCTTCCTAAAACCCTCTCAAAGATCTTAGAGATGGTGGGAATCAACGCAATGGGTCTATAACAGGTCATTGATGACATATCATCTTTCTTAAAAAGAGGTTTTATAATAGTTATTTTTAATTTATTACAGAAGACTCCATCTGCATAAGTTGATTATATAGCTCAGTACATTCGATATTTTAGACGATACGTATGTTAATATCACTGTGGATACGTCATCATAACCTGTACTGTTAGTGTTCTTCAGACACGGGCCTGCGGACGGCGAGCACGGGTAACTCGCCGTCCGAACAGAACCAGGCCCGAGCGTACGGCGCGTCACATTCCGCGCGCGCCTCAAGGAGCCATCAGACCACCACAGATGGGGCCCAATAGGGCTGTTGCCGATACGGAGCCGCGGAGAACCTAACGGGTTACCGGGGCTCCGGCTCGAAGTGCAGGAGTAGGAACACATCAATGACTTATGTACTTTTGACAATCTAAAAAATGGCGGACTTAATCTATTCATAAGTTTAGTTTGATATCTGCTGGATAGGACTGTCTTATTGACCGAGTGGTCGCAAATGCGACAGCCGGGCAAGGGGTCTCGGGTTCGATTACCGGGTCGGGCAAAGTAATACTGGGTTTTTTAAAACTCCCAGTAGTAGCACGGAGTCTGGAATAGTGCCCGGTATATGGTAATAGGCTCACCTCCTATTACATGGGACTCATAACATAAATAGTGAAAAGTGGGTGTTACATTGTACAGTGGCATTAAGGTGAGAGTCAAAATGGCGTTTCAAAGTCGTTGAGAGTCAAAATTGTTTGCAATATAGTGAGTGTACCTACTCTGTAGGGTGTAGGTAAATCAGTAATTATTTATAATAATTATAAACAAAAGTAAATGGGGCACGATTGTTTTATTTCTCAGGGCCCTGTCGACTACCTACCTATGTAGCTCGTCTTATCCCCAGCGCCACGTTCGGCGGCCGAGTATGAGGCCGTGATGTGGCGACAAAGAAATACAAATTTTCGTTAGGGGTTTCTTGTTATTTTAATTTCAGTTTTTTAGTACTTCAGGTACTATTAAGGTACAAATTTTTGGTGTATTTATTTTTAATAATTAGTGTGGTTAAATAATAAAATATCGTAGTACACCCGCCATCTTGACGTCAATATGGCGGGTGTACTTTTAATGTCGTAATAACATCATTCCAAAGAAAGTACAATTTTTTAAACCTAGGTACTAAATAGTAAATTTTAGGTACAATTTTTGATATCTGGTAGAATTTGCTTCGTTATCAATTATAATACACCCGCCATTTTGACTCTCACGCATTAAGTGTCGTAATGTGCCTACCCCTTCGGGGAAGAAAGGTGTGATATTATGTTATGGAGTTCAACACTTGGGACCCATACAAGCACGTATTTATAAACAAATAAATAATCTTGCACGGCGTCACAAGATGATAAGATGGGTCTGTATAAATGTTACTGTGATGTGCACATCTCGTCAGTTTGACGCCCAGCTCAAGCAGTGAGGTCAGTCTGAGTACCTATTGCAGTGTGTAAATACCGAAGCAATGAAGTTCATTGTGAGTACTCTTTATTAATTATAGTCATTTCTCGATGTATCTAAATTAGGACTCGTAAAATAAGGGCCTGTTTCACAATATCTGGATCATAATTTTGAATTAAGAACATAATTTGTATGAACTATCTATCACGTAAGTTTGTCAGGTACATACATAGAGGTAGTGAAACCGGTGCTAAATGTTCGAAAAATGAAATGGTTCGAAATTAGAACTTACCCCAGAATTTAAATTCTCAACTCTGTAAATTCTGAGATATTTCAGCCCCTTTCTCCCTGCACCTTCGAATTATATTGAGAGATTGACGCCGATAAATTCCAATATCGAGACGATGATGTTTTATAAGAAACAATGAATATTTTTGTGCCAGCCCTGTACAGTGCACCCGTATAATTCGCGAAATTCATACTGATTGATCTGAAGAAGAAGAAAGAAAGAAAAGAAAAACATTTTTTTGCGCAGAACACACATAACATAATTAAAAATAAAATTAAATAAAATATAAGCTAAAAAATTAAAAATGAAGAATGTTCATGGTCCACAGACTTATTATTTTGGTGGAATGATGAGTTATTTTAATTAAACAGATTAAACAGATAAAAAAAACAAGTATTCTGAGTAACCACTTTATGGTTACAATAGAATAGTAATTTTATAGGACCCATTAAACATAACAAGAAGCACCATTGTACTGATAGCAACGTGAAGGAAATGCATATAAAATGCATCTTGATCAAGCATTGTTTTAATAAGGATGTTACAATTGTATATGTATATATGTGTTTTAAAGTTTACAATAATTGTTACAGGTATGTGTCTTCCTATTCTTGGCGATCTTGGAGGGATTCCAATGTGAGTATTCTAATGATTAACGTTATAAAAAAACACATCTTTTAACCCTAAAAAATTTCGTCATGCTAAGAAGATATGATGATATGATGACAAGTTTATTTTATTTGAATGTATTTATGTTTGTGACTCTTGCACTGACTGTCTTCTGAACACATCTGAGTGTTGGGCAGAGATAGATTATGCTCTGAAAAAATATTAAAGACCACTTCTAGCCCTGCTACTGACTGAAACGTATATATTAAACACACATTTACTTTGTTACAGGTGCTCCACTTTGCCAATTTTGGCATTGTTTTTATGAATATTCCAATTCACAAACAACAACTTATCAAAATGTTTTCACGAATAATGGTAACCACAATGTCATGATAGTTAATGGGGGTGGCAAAGGTCTCTTTGGACAATTAATGCTATTATAATAAGATATGTGTTTTTATCATAACTATCGTGAGATATACTAAATTAACTAAAAATCTTTTACTCACGTTACTCACGTGAAAATACTGAGAAAAGCTCTACTAGTTTCAAACCACAGAGGGGTTCTTCCTCGTGAGCGGCGTGCGCGGTAGCGGCGATGTTTCTGTGTTTCTCATTATTTTCACGTGAGTAACCCGTGATTTTTTTAGTTTAATAAGATGTATGGATGTTGTCTGAGAATCACGACGGGTTATACTTAAACCGAGGACCAAATCATGGCATTGTTACTTTAGCAGAACAAAAATGTTAATCGTGATGGACAGCTACTTGTGGGCGGCGTTTCGTTCACCATTCCTGCCTGTTGAAATATCGTACCCAAATATTCTCACACAAAAATAGTCTCTAATCATCGGAAATAAGGTCTATAATGTAGTTAGTGGAGAGCTGCCACCGGTGACCGCTTGGGGATAAAAGGGCAGCTGCTGGACTATATATATATATATATATACCCGCAGCTACAATACAACGTAATTATCATTAGACTCAATATTGTCAGTCTCCAAATTATAGTAATAAAATTTAATTCAACATTTAAATCCTGATTTTTATTTCGCACAGACACATAGTCATTAACACTGCGTCTTCTCGAAAACATAGGCAGCTGTGTATCAGCCATTGTCAGCAAATGATGAAGTGTAATTGTTAAGGGAACTCTTCAACGGTATACAGTACATATCTTGGTTGTCTGCTTGATTTATTTGTATTGATGAGAATTTTGTATTTATGTGGATTATATGTGGCATAACGGAACGTGTATTACACTAAAAACGGTAAAATAAAAAAAATAATAAAAACTGCGTTTAAAAAACCAAAAATTAATGACAAACAAAAAGTAAAACTAAAAAGCAAAAACTAACTATACCTAATTAGTACTGATAGGTTACCCACCCACTGATAGGTTAGTAGAAGTGGGTGCCTTAAGCTTATATCAAAATGATATAACTGAATGGTCACTTATAATATTAGGTATCTATTAGAGTTTTAATGGATAATTTCAATTAATAGAATGCAAGAACAATTTAGTCGCCTGTCATGCTCACTTAGTGTGGATATTGACATGTCCTATTCTCTTTTCAAAGTGAAAACTGTCCTGCGTAGAACATTCTCACAGAGTTAAACTGCACTATATGTAGGTACTACATATTCAAATCAAAATTTTACAATTTAAAAGTTGAGAAGAAGTAAAAATTTAAATTTAACAATTGTGATTGAAATTGATGTCTTTTTTGATAAGCGAACTTTTTGTTTTTTTTTTGTTGTTTATCCTGTTCTTTTATAATGCATGTCGTGGCAGCCTTTATTTAAGGCTACACTATAGACTGTTAAAATATTATGTTAAAAACCTTTCATGTATTTGGTGTATGCTTTGTTGGTTGTCCTTAAATAAATAAATAAATTTTGCTTTTTAGTTAGTTAGTCATTAGTTTTTGATTTTTTAAGTCGGTTTTTTAAACGCAGTTTTTATTTTTTTGGTAAATATACAGTTAATATTCTCACAATGAACTTCATCGTTGTACTCAGACTACAGACTAGCCTCACTGCTTGAACTAAGCGTCGAACTGATGGAGAGATGCGCGGATCACAATAATAATTATATTCTATATCTATATCTATCTATACTTATAATAAATCTGTAGAAAGGTCAATTCTGTACATAAAATATATTTAAAAAATAACTATCAAGGGGTGGTTAGGGATCGCTACTGATGCCAAAAATGCAATCAGTAAAATTTTTGTCTGTCTGTCTGTCTGTCTGTCTGTATGTTCGTTATGGAAACAAAAACTACTCGACGGATTTTAACGAAATTTGGCACAATTATTCTTCATACTCTTGGGCAGGTTATAGTATACTTTTCATTACGCTACGATCAATAGGAGCAGAGCAGTGAAGGGAAATATTGGGAAAACGGGAGAAGTTACTCCATTTTTTAAGCTTCCGTCGCGTGTGCAGGCTTAATAGTTAAAGCTACATAGAAATCATGTATGACGGAAATGTTCTACATAAAATTATCTAAATAATATCCCACAACAGCACATGTCTATCTTTTATGGTTGACTTACAATAACACGTGTAACTCCCGATAGCTTAGCAGTTCGGAGCTTTCTGCTTATATTTGTTTACTCTTACGTTTACAATACTCATCCATAGACTTTACGCTGTAACTGTAGGGCCGATGG